GAAGGAGCAAACGGAACAGATCTCTACAAGTTCCATGTTCCGCACGAACATATCAGCCATCAGGTCTGATCGCGTCAGAATTCAATTATCGATAAACGACGAAACTTTCGACGTCCACGCATTCACGCGATTAAATTAGCGATAAGGGCCCGAGTAATGATAGCGTAATATACGCGTTTATCGCCGTGAACAAAGGTCTCGTATCTAATAGAAGAGATTTTAAACTCACCGACCGAGCATCGATTTTAATTAAACTTTCCTGCCGCGATCAAGCCGCTTTACTGATGTCCTAAAAACTTGCTCAGTCTTTTCTAACCGAGGATTATTAATCGTCCTCTTTGTTCGAGTAACTCCTAATCGGACACGTGTGTCGTTTATAGACATGTTTGATAAAATCCCTTCCTTGGAAGTACATAGCGCTCTAGATAATCCTTCATCATTGAATCCACCTTATTCCTTGCGTATCACAGAGGAGCTCTTTTGTGACGTTAAAAGTTAACTGAGAGAGACTGTTAGTGTTGGAGTACAAAATATTACACGATCGTACACATTCTTTCTACTATTGAATATGTTTTAAGAATTCCGAAATGCACTTCGTTGACACTGAGATATTCCGGGATCGATCGGCACCGATTTTCGGACTTGGTAATTCGACGCACGTTCTCTGTGTCCGCGAAACGTGCGTGCAAACAGAATTACTCTTCTCGTGAGATTAAAATCCGATACTTCATATATTGCATGCTCTTTTATCTATATGTTTACGTATCTGTGTGTTTTATAAAATGTCCTCGTCTATTTTACCGGGGCAATTTCGAATATTCTTTGATCGAGGTATCCTTTCCACGTCATTCACTCATATTTTCACGAAAACAAATATCATCCATTTTTAGATGGCGCGTCGTTGAATAGGATAAGGTTCTTACGTTGTAGAATCTGACTCGTATTATCGTATTGTATGCATTTGTGTATACTAGAATTATGTAAATTCGTTTTTTTCTTTTCTCTCGTCTCAAGTTAACAAAACCTTGGAAATAATTCATGGAGCGCGATTGTTATCGTTATTATTTGAGCGAAAAGTATCGATTCGATTTCAGCTTCCGCGATGGAATTCGCATTACTGGCTAGGAAAATTGATGCGTTCCAATTAAAAGGAATTATTTAAAGGACAGGGTAGATTCCAGGCATGTGGACATTGACGAGAGATTTAATTTTGTCGAGCCATCCTTCGAATTTCTTTATTATTCAACAATTCCAACTTTGGTCCGACATTTAACGAAGACACACCGGCATACTCTCGAATGAATGCTTAGTTAATGGAATGCATTTATTAGTCATTAACAACTGCAAAAACTTTTCGTCCCATTTCAACTACTTATGAAACATATAATGACACTTTGCAACATCCTGAAGATTCAAACAACAACTTGTTGTTTCAAACAACATGCTTCTCCTTCGATCCTCTATAATTCATCTCGAGCAGTTCCTCGATGTTTCTTTTTTAATTACTTCCAGGTTTCCCATCCCCAACCCTAGCCCCAGCCTCACCCGCCACGTCCACCATGATTTGTAGCAAAGATTTTTAATTACTTATAATTTCTTTCCGACTTTTCGCGTGTCAATGTCACCGCTACTGGCGACATTTCCGCTCTTGACTTCCACTCCAACTCTGAAACCATTTTTTCCAACTGAAGGGAGAAAAAAAAGCTGAAATGAATGTTTCCTTGAATCATTTCTCAAATCCCTCTTGTTTCTTACAGTTGGCAAGACAAAGATGTAACTCATCGTTCTTCTTTCAACGACGGATGATTAAAGTAACATTGGTCAACGTGGTTGGCCACGAAGAGTTACGAGTCTACGTGCGTGGGAGCTAATACCTATTTCATTTTCTCGGGAAGGACGCGACGAATGTTCTGTTTATTGGCCGCCCAATCGTTCTTACGTTTCCACAAATGGGTCAATAACGCAACTTTCAGTCGAATCTACCATAGTTGTTTCTACGAAACCCTAGCGAAGAGGAAATAAAAGTAGCTTGGAGATCCTTTGGGAAATCGCTTGGATCGTATAACAGCGGAAAAGAACCGCGTTTATGTTACTATTTGTCTTGCCACGTGGACGCTTATGAAATTATTTTCCCTAGGAAAATCTCCTAGGAAATTAAACGTTGGATCTCCTTACCACGAGAGAATCTCTTTGGTCACCTTAAGGGACTCTAGTTCAATATTATCCACGCACTTTTCATAGACCACCGATTGCATCAATTTCCTTCTCTGGTCCATGACCTTTGACAAACAAGATCATCTCCCGCAGAGGTTCGCTGAACTTCTTGAGACGCTTCTGTAAGAAGCAACCACCTTTGGATCGAAGAGGAGGGAGTTCCAAATAATATGGTAGTCGAACAAATTGACTAACTAATTTGGAACGTGTACAAGTAATGAAGGCGATAATTAGATCCGCGTCGAGTTTCTAACTTTCGGAGAGCTTCGAGCAACGATGAGATAATCAAGCGGAATCCTTTGGTAAACGGCTCGTTAGGTCGTTCGGGTAAATTCGATATCCCTGTGGAATGACGCACCTTATTCGGTTTTCCCAGAATGTACAATTTCGCGTTATATCTTGATCGATCTTCTTATTTCAGCGAGATAATTCTTCTCTATACTAACAATAAGTAATATAATTCTTGCGGCAGATAAGAATGATTTCACCACAAGGAAAATACTTATGAGATTTTCATCTCGCTGCACGCTGAAAGAAAAATTCATTTCTGTCAATTACTGAGTTAAGAAGAGAGATTAGTTTGCGACGGGACTAACGCAAATTATGATTCTTCTCTTTCTCTGTTCTGCTAAAACCATCAAGGGTATACTTCCGTTGCTAGGGAGCAATGGACGAAAAAAGGAGGGAGAGAATTTCCTTGTTTCTTCGCAGAACAACTCCAAGATAAAAATGAATACGCAAATTTCAAATGAAATTTAACGAAGACGAGGATTTGCCGAATTGTTTCAGGGTTAAAACTCCACGGCAATTATCCTCCGGTCTAATTAATTTTAATTGGCGTAAACATTAAATATTGAGAGTAAGGGGACCGAGAGATCGATGGCAACGAGCAAGATAATAACAGGACCACCTTGCCACCGTGCATTACACACACACACGCGCACACACGCGCGCGCACGCACGCATGTACGCACAGTCCACAGCGTCTGATACGATCAATTATCGCGTAAATCCCGCGCAAATGTAATTACAGCGTAAATCGCGGTTATTATTCACTCACTGAACGAATGAAAAAACTTTCTTTTTCAGGTGGTAGTACCGAAACGAGCAGCACTTTTGTTCGACCGGCTGATGGTTGCGTTGCAGAAAGTTGTCGACAACCAGGGCAGAGGAGAACTAAGTGGTAGTAGAACATTCACAAGATCATCTGGGCCTCATTTACCTGCTGGCAACTCGCAGATCGTTCCCTCGATGGACGAGCAAACAGTGAAGGTTACATTACACGACCTGCTATTTTATACGTTTCACGTTTATTCTATTATACTATAAACGGCCCGTGTATCTATCGCATATGATACTGGATACCGAGTTTCTCCGTTTCTTTGTTTTAGATGGATCTTCAACGACGTGGACAAGCCAAAGGGAGAGTCTATTGGCGTTGTTACTTCAACGCCGTGACGTGCTTTAAGAGAAAGTGATAACGAGCCGGCAACGGAACCACCAATCTCCCCACCTCAACTCGAAAACCCGACTCGACCATACGAGATTCCTTGCATGCTTTTCCTGCTCAGAAGACGAACAAATAAATTTCAGCAAACTCAGGACAAACTAGACCCTACTAAGTCCACCGGATGATTCTATCTTTTCTTACGAGTCGGAACTACCACTTTCCTCCTTTCAACATCTTCTCGTCTCTGCTCCTTTAATGCTACTCTTTCTTTCATCCCAACTATCGACGAGAACAAAAGGTATTATGTTTAAACGATCAGTGCCAACTACTTATCTCTCTGACTTATAAAGCATTCGGCATACAAGTATCGATTAAAACTATCTAATCAAAACGCATAAAACTAAACACAACATGTTCACTCGATTGGTTTCGACATTTAAGCCTCATTTGTGTAATTACACCCTGGTAATCCTATCCACAGTATCCTGAATCTCTTGAAAGAATTTACTTATTATTAGAGAAGATAAGTCGATGTTAATAGGCGGAAGAACGTCGCTTTAACGAAGAACCCGTTATTTCAAAGTCCTTTCAACGTCGATACGCTTTTGTGAACGTGATAAACGTAGATTATAATCAATTCGTTACATCGTTTATTCCACCTTGTTGCGTTAATCATCTCTGATATTGCTACTCTTGAATAAAGTGATTAATCAGGACATATTGTACTGTTACGAGGGATGATGTATTTATTCCGATCATTTGTTGAAAGATACGCGTTACAAGAATAAGGTAAATTTTTATTTCGAGTGTTTGTATCGCTAAATGGAATCGTGTACTTTCGTGGCTGCGGATAACCTTTCCAAGCACAACACTAATTCACAGTGCTTGGTGTGTGGAAACATATCTACAGCAACAGCTTTTACCGGTACTAAAGGTTCTCCGACGTATTGCTTCGAGGGAGGTCTAGCTAAGTCCACCAAATTTTTTGCAGCTGCCTTTGGATCACAGGATATGTACACTAACCTCGATAATTTGTTCGCCTTGCGTAAAGTCAATAACGCTCTTTGATCTGAAATAAACTTATGTCTACACATATGTCTTTCCTAAAAGTTATAAAAATCTCTCAATTATGTAACGGTATCTTACGAAGTCCAGCTCGTGGAGGATCTACAACAGCGATAATATCGGGCTTAGTGGTCCTTCGAATGACTGGAGATAGGATATCTTCAGCTTTGCCAACAAAAAATTCACAGTTTGATATGTTGTTTGCGATCACATTTTCCTTAGCGTCTTTGATAGCATTTTCCACTACTTCTAATCCAAATACCTCCCCACAATGCTGCAATTATTCGCGTTTATTTTATTTTTATTTTATTTCGTTACTTTCTCTCTCTTAATTTTATTTCGTTTCTCCAATACCTTTGAGAATACAAGGCCAATTGTCCCAGTACCGCAACAAATATCGAGTAATGCAGTGTCTGCGGTTGGCTTTGCCAAATCAATCGCTGCTTTGTACAACACTTGAGCGCCTAACGTGTTCACTTGGAAGAACGCTTGTGGAGACACTTGAAATTTCATACCTAACAATGTTTCCTCTATGTATTTTGTTCCGCTAATGTGATGAAAATTATCTCCACTTTCATCGGCGCTTCTAAATAGAAATAAAATCGGAGTGAATCGTACGAATGGGCCTTTTTTCCAGAATTAAACAAAGTTCGATGATCTTACTTTTTATTCATGATTTGAAAATATAACGATGTGACGTGTGCGTTTGTACCGTTTCCGTTCTCGAAAAAGGCTTTCAATTGTAATTTTAATTCTTCCAAACTTTCACAGCTTAAATCCTGGGGATGCATTCCTACTATTACCATCAAATCGTCGCAAAGTGTAGTTCGGACAGTAACCTGTCTCCAGTATCCACTATGATCAACCGGATGAAAAGGTTTTAATTTGGTATTTTGTATAAATTCTTCGAGCACCTAAAATACACTTTATGTAAAAGACAAATCTGAAGAGATGATTAATTTCATGGGAACTTCTTTTTGGAAACTTACTTTAGCTACAACTTTCATTTTGTTAGGAATATGACAAAGATTATCTATAGGTCCAACAGCAGTGGAACCAGCTGCATAGCTAGATAATCTGAACCCTATTACAACTTTGTCCCCTTTATTACCTCTACCTGGATTAAATTGGTATTATCTATGATATGTTTGTCATAATTTATCTACAGGATAAATAAATTTTCAAATAGAATTACCAACTGTAAATTCACATTTATTTCTGTATTCTGTAATTATGTCTGTGCTCAGAATAGGAAGCAATTCACAAGGTAAACCTTGATATTCATCTTTCTGACGATTCAACCATTTTAAAAGATCATCTTTGCTCTCTTTCAACATTTGCTTACAAATATTAGTTAAAATAGACCTCATTTCTTTTTGTTTCAGCTCCAACTAAAAATATATCATGACATTTTTATTTTACTACTTCTACATCCACCTTACATTAGGGTATAATGTCTTACTTGATCTGGATAAGGCATGTTCCAAAGGGGAACTGTAGTTAACTTAACTTTATCCTCTATAGATATAATTTCATTATCTTCGTCTACCTTTAAACGTTTATTTGCATTTTCTTCCTCTAGTTTTCTTTTCACAAATGGATCTGGTGCAGGTTTTGCAATCTATGTTAGGTAAACAAGTGTTTTCATATTGGTATCAATAACCAAGCTTTAAATATGCAAAAATTAACGAAAAGCTATGTAAAATAATGTAACAGCAAATTAAAATACCTGAGCACTAAGCTTACAATTTTTCCATAAAATTCCATTCAATGTTTCTATAGCCTTCTGACGGCTTTCCTCATTTCTGAAGGACACATAAAGCCATCCACTGCTCCGTTTCGGTGGCTTTATTTTGCACGTCTTCAAATCTAGCTTTTCATTTAACAGTTTCTTAAATTCACCAATTCCATAGTATTTTGGTAAACCGCGTACCTCGATTTTATACTTTTCTGACGTGAAATCATCCCTTTCGAGATAAGCGTAAGGATTTTTTTCCACTTCCGTCAACCCTTTTGTGGTCATTTTTTTCTTATTTTTCGTTCAATTTTATTTTACACACTTCATCCACCGATTATATATATTTTTATTAATAAATGGAAATATATAACCTAACCACTGCTTTTTCTCTACTCCTTAAAGTTCACGTGTTGTCTGTTGTATTAGGTTATGTCTACCGACTAACCATCTTGGATCAATATGCGTATAAACTAAGTATATACATACATCTGTCGAAAATGATATGAATCCTTTATTGTCGATAAAGATAATAAAAAATTTCGGG